AGGATAAAAAAATATTTTAAAAGTCAACTGAGTCAAGTCACCGTTATTTTAATAGTGCTCTATACAAGATTGTTTCAAAGCAGCTTTACAGTGATCACCAGGATAATAATGATGCAATGATCCAAACATAGATAAATTCGACTGTAAAGCAGCTCTAAAAAGAGAAAAAGTGTCAGTTCAGTGTTGATTCAGTTTCGTTGTAAAGATCATCAAGTATAGTTTAATTCATCTATGAAGCATCTCTGCAGAAAACAGTGGTGTCATTGATTCTCCGGGTCAGTTCAGTTCTCATCAGTGTGGGAACGTTCTTAGTTAAGTATGTGTACATCATCTGTTCGTAAGGTTGGTCTGGACCACTCTTAGCTACCTTATCACTGTAGACAGTTCACTCCGCTAGTGGCCACCACTACAAAAAGCTTTTTTTACATCTCAGTCTATACAAATCTAATTACATTGTAGGCTAATTCAACTGTTTTCATGCAAAGAATAAAATTATCATTACACTGATTGTTGTTATTTTTTAAATTATATTATCCAAAGGTACATCAGCTGGCAAAGCAATAGCCAGTAAAAGCTTAGGAGTCTATTTTAAAGGGAATGATTGTGGTGGGGAGTTTGCTCAATCTATTGCAGCTATACAGCGATTAGTTGTGCTAAATTAAAGATGCCACAGTCTGTGGAGCTCTTTCAAAGGCCACTGAACGCATACTGCCAGTTAGTGTAGCAGGTTGGGGCATGATACGTTTAAGCGTTGATACGTTGAGGTTGCGGGTTCGCACACTCCTTCCAAATCACATGAGTCCTATTAAATGCAATTTCAACTATTTCTAAAGTGCTTCTTTAATGAAGAATACAGCTTTCTCACATAACGCAGTGAAGCAGCCCCAGCGTAAGTGAATAATTGATTGTCGAGCCATCGATATCAACCAATTCAGCACCACCGCCATGGACAGCACCTGGTAATGTTGCACATAAGAAGGTATAGTTCAGGGAACATGCCTTGAAATGGTATACCTTTAGTTAAGTTTAACTTTAGAGACTTTGTAACACACTAAGAGATAACGTTATCAGGAAATCCAGCACAGATAAGTATTATTCGAACTGTGCCAATGCATTTCCTCTAATGTCAACATCATTTGTGAGTCTATTCAATGGAATGTTTTGGTTGATGGTATCAAATGCAGCAGATCTAGTAACACTAATACAATTAGTGGCTCCTGACACGTGTTGTCTAACTCCATAGAGTTTAGAATGTCTATAAATGTCAATCCCATGCATCTTTTTCATTATCTACATAGATTATATATTTACCAACAATTAAGACTTTGCCTGCAACCAGTACTAAACTCTGACAGACAAAAAAAAATCTGAATATTCTTTGATAAAGTCTTTATGGTGGCCTGTTTACTGTAGTTAGAACAAATATCAAACTTGATTTATTGTTTCAAAAAAGAAACTTCAGGCATGTTGTTCCAAACTTGAATGACTTATTTTATTCTGTGATACATAGGTATTTTAAGAAGATGTTTTCAGAAATGTGTAAGTAAAAGGTAAGCAAAATTATTTGGTTACCAGCATTCCTCAAAAAAAGTCATTCAGATTTGGAACCATATGAGAGGGTGTAAATAATGACATTTCAATTGTGGGTGACTTATTCCTTTATGATAATATTCATTACAGTGAGCTGTTAACTTGAAAACCACTGAGTCTGGATTCAGTCGGAGAGTTAAACTTGAGCATTGGGCAGATTTGTGAATGAATCAGTTTTCAAAAACAGTTTTATCAATCAGGTTTATTGTTTTAAAACAATGATACACATTTAGAACAACTTTAAATTACGACAGAATTGTCATCTGCCTTTAATCTGTGCTACTGACATTTGACCATATCTCTAGGCAGTGGTGGAATGTAACTTTGTTACAAATACTTTGTTACTTTACTTAAGTAAATTTTTCACGTATCTTTACTTTACTTAAATAGTGCATACTTTTTACTTTTACTTCGTTACATTTTGCAGCAATTATTATGCTTTCTACTCCACTACATTTCTACAACTTCTGTTAAATTTTCGTTACCTTTTTTTATCAGTTTTTCCCCTGCCAAAACGTAATCTGTCCGTCCGTTCGTTGCACGTATGTCTCACCAGTAACATTTGGTTGCCATAGATATATCAACCCGATCACACACTAAATGCGTCTCGCACGTAGTGTGTTTACCGTGCAATTTATACACGAAAATGTGTTTTTACGTGCATAGAAAACGCAGAGTGTGTAATACGTTTGGTTTGGATTATGGCAAGCCAAGAGGTTCAGAATTACACCATAAATTAATCGCGTTTACTGCCAAACATAGTTATTAGCATATAGTAAGGATAAGCATGATGTGTATATTGCCTAATTGCAAGCTTGTTTCAGAAATGGTGACAACATTTTTTTTCCCATCATTATTGAACATCATTATAGGAGTATTAGGTTGAATGACTTAGAATTAAATGTTTTATTAATCATTAGAAAATAGACATTAGAAGAATAAATTGTTATGCAAGTACTTTTACTTTTAATATTTAAAGTACATATAAAATCAGGTAATTTTTACTTTTTACTTAAGTATTTTCATTGTGTTACTTCTACTTTTACTAAAGTAAATATTTATCTGGTTATTTGTACTTTTACTTAAGTACTGAGATTCAGTACTTCTTCCACCACTGCTTCTAGGAGAATCCTATCTCTTTCTCTCTTTGAGAGGAGCACTAGGGACAGCTAAGCTGAGCAAGTCTTGGTTGTTTCAGGAGAAGCTTTCAACATTCAAACAGTGCCCCACAATTCTCCCCTTGGCTTTGTTTGGTTGAGTGTTGAAAATTTGCAGTTGCCGCAGTCAGTTTTCTTCAAGTCTGTCTCTTGTTTCAGTGGCTGAGCTCAGGTGCACACAACAGACCTCTCTCGCTCTCTTCCCCTCCTCATCTCTTTATGCTTCCCATTTTTCCACTCAGCACAGACTGGATATCAGAACTGCTAATTTGCAAATGAAATTGGGTGGAAAGCAAAATTAGTCAAGCTGCATTGAGTAAAATCAGTTACACACAAATTTACGCACAGACATGTTTGTCCCTTTCGCAGACTGTTCTGTTCACAAAATTTCATAGTGCATGATCCATAGGGCAGAAAAGTTCCCGTTTTGTTTCATCGCTCCACAGAACAGAATCCCAAAACTTCTGTGGCTTAGATGATTTTTAGCAAATTGGAGCCAACTTTTATTGTGCTTTTGGGTCAGTAGTGGAGTTCTGGCATGGAAACTGCATGTGTTTAGTACGCATCTTACTATGCAAGCTGAAACCTCAGTGCATGTTGCCACCAAGTCTTGGTGCAGGTCTTTTGCAGTCACTCAAAGTTTTTCTGAACCTGCCTTCTCAGCAATCTAGTTGCAGCCATTGATAGCTTCCTTTTTTACCCCGTCCAGGAACTTGAGAACTTGCTTCCAATAATTAGAGCCTTCACTATCTTTTTGCATCGGGTTCCTTGTATGTGAAGGGCAATGATATCTTCTCTTAACTTTTTAAGACCATTCTTTTGACATATTTCTAACATGCAGTCAAACGTGACACTCACCAAACTTATCCAGTTTGGATATTTCATGCGACCTAGCTCAAACACACCTGGTGCAACTAGTGAAACTGAGCTGAGCCATAATGAAATGTAGATTTTGCCAATAAACCTGATTTGCAATGCGGGATGAATTATTTTGATTACAACTGTAGCACTTTCAGAGCAACGAAGAGCGAGATGATTGTTCTCTCATGTAAATCCTCCAAGCTGTCCACAGTATCTTTCATCCAATCATAAATGGACATACAGAGCTTAATTCTTCACTATGTAACTTGAATATTGTGAGAGAGGATCCGGCTGGTGATATTTAAGTAGATTATCTCATAAATGATGATATGACCTACATGCATTGACTAAAACCTCATTATAAAGTGGCAGTCAGGCACCATTGAAGACTTGCGCTTTTAAAGTGCCGTTGACCACCACATTCTACCCCATGTTATTGTACCGGCCCTCTATAGCCTCTTCCAGCCCTGCCAGCTCGCCGTACTCCTCTGGGACAGACGCAGGATGTTGTTTGATGGCTTTTATCCACAGACCACAAAGGAGGCTCTGTGCTAAACTCTGCAAGTTATTGCTTTAAGAGGGAAGTTTTACAGAGAGGAGATTCTTTCTTTTTTTCCTCCAGAGTCTTTGTTTTGGGATGGATAACATGTTTCACAGGGATCCCTTTGAGGGTCTCTCTGTTTGGCAATCCCCATGAGGATTCCAGCTTGTTTTTCTGTGCTGCTAGCAGGTAGTGAACTTGCCTCCCGTTAGGAGACGCTTCACTACGCAGATGGTTGAACAACAGCGCCACTCAAAGTTAGTTAAAGGAAGTGAAGCTTACAAAAAAAAAAAAATTCAGGCTGTTCTGTGAATTCGCACAACTTCTTTTATTTTAAATACTATAGACTTCTATTGTGTTTTTATGTCTCTTTATCTTTTATTTATAGCCTACATGTTTTGTCTTAGGCTATATGTGTTGATCTAAATAAATAAAGGAAAACATACTGTAAATGCACTTTAAGACGTGTCTAAAGGCCTCGTGTTTGTGTCAGTAAAATATCACATACTCTACAGTAAATTGATGATCTAGACTGGGATTGGGTATATAATAAATATCTAAACTATAGAATTAAACTGACTATACTGCAAATATTGATGTGAATCTTGACTGTTTAGCATCTAATACAATATTTCAAATGTAATATCTAAATACGATGTGGCAAATAGCTGTATATTTAAATTGTAAATATAAAAAGGTTTTAATACTTTTTTAAATGATTATTTTTATTTTATTTATTTTTTTTTCAGACAAATCTGTGTCCAGGAAACCATGCTTCATTGTCTAATAAATGTAAACTAACCAACATAGATCTTGACATGTAGTCACTTAAGACATTGTGTGTTTTGTAGGTGATCTTGGTGAGCTCCAGCATCAATGAACGTGATCAGATGCTCTTCATCAGCACAGATGAGGGTTCATCCTTTCAACGGCAGCCTGTCTCCTTCACCGTGGAAACACTCCTCTTCCATCCATCTGAGGAAGACAAACTTTTGGCTTACAGCAAGGAGGCAAAGGTCAGTCATGAAAGTGTTGGCCATATAATAATACATAATAATACAGTCAAGAAAATGACTACCAAAGACACCAATTGAAGTCTGTGTTTTTTGGCAGCTTCAAACCGGTCGCTCACAAGATCATAATATGTCAGCTGCATGTTTGTAGCGTTTCTTGTCAGGCTCAACTGCCTGAAAAAGTCTTTGTGGTTGTTTTAGTGTAAACGATTTAGGTCTCGGCTGGATGACTTGACCAACTGTTCTCAACACATTTCTCACCCAGCTGTGTTTATGGTAATGCTTTTTGCTCTCCGGCATATTGGCATCCTCATTATTAGAGTTATGAGCAGCACTGTTTGGCCTTCAGGCCATGGTTGTCTCTCGCTTAAAGAGCATGTTTACATTGTTAATGGCTGGGTAAGCAACAAGGCAAGAACTATGTGTGTGTGTTAGGGGTACGTGCGAGGGTGTGTGTGTGTTTGCGGTTGATGAATTGCTAAAACCCTTTGACACTGCGTGCAACATGCTGCATTTATCATATCTGAGATTACACAGAAAAGACAATGAAACAGCACATGGCAGGTTGGCTGTTTTGGCTATGAGTGTGTGTTTGTGTTGTTATGGTGCAGTTTGGTGTGTATTTTCCAAGCAAGTGGTGATCAATATAATCTCATTATAGAAATGATCAATTAGAGACAAATGCACACACACAAACACACTCAACATTTGTGATTTTAATTGCTTTATATGGACAGCTTCCCACAACCTAATCGTTATATACATTAGACGATGAATCGCTCATCTAATTATCATGATCCTGAGAATTTGCAAAGTGTGCTTTAATCTAATCCGGCCTGAAAATCAATGTATAACTTGTGATTTATTTATGTTTCTCTGTTTTTCAGCTGTACATCTCCACCGATCTGGGTCACAAATGGACTCTGCTACAGGAGCGTGTTACTAAAGACAGAGTTTTCTGGTGACTATTTTTCTTCTTCTAAAAGACACTCGTCTACACCACATAAAGAGAACCTTGTGTTGTTTCAAATCTGTATGACTTTCTTCATTTTGTGGAATCTCAAATCAGATGTTTAGCAGAATGTCTGAATTGATGTCTGACCAGGGGCTGTAAAGCTCCAGAAGCACCAAAGAAACATTGTAAAAACATTGGGCCTGAATGATTTCTGATGCCATATAGAGAACTGTTATTCACTGAAAATATTGCTTGATGGCTGCATGTGATCACCATTTTCTTTCATTATATGGAAAAGAGCAACTTTGACATTCAGCTATACATAACTTATTTTGTATTCCACAGAAGAAAGAAAGGTCTTTATTAAAGGTCAATACTGGTTTACTTTACTTTACATTGCCTTCTAAGACTTTCTTTAATCTTTCCCCCACTCCATTCTCTCTCCCATACCTTCTTGGTGGAATTCAAACCCTTTTTTTTATTATTTTCCATTTCTTTACTCCTTGGTTATGGTTAACTGCTACAACAGCTGGGATTGAAATCCTGGACAGAAGTGATTTATTTCTCCACCCCATCCAGTCTTTCTGTCTGACCTGCTCTTTCTCTTTTTTGGTCTCTCCTTCCTGATCTTTCACTCTCTCCCGCGTATGTGCCATCCTCCTAGCACACTTTTCCAGATTCACTTACAAAGCTCTGTACAGTTTGTGAGTGGTTGATAGTGATAAAAGATGAAAAAGTCAGCTCCCTGTCAGCATCTGCCATAATAAACCCCATCCAGCATGTTTTATTTGACTGGAGGTTTTACAATGACACTGTAAATCTGAAGCTGTTTTTACTCTATTCCTCAGCTGCAGGGGGTTTGATAAGGGTCGTACCCCTTCCCTCTGTACTGTCTGCAAACCTCTTTAAAACATCTTAGAGAATTGCCTCAGAAGACGCGACAGAATCAGTTCATATTGAGGGTTGCGGCTCTTTTGTCCTCCCCGTCTACTGCCTTTCTCATAAAACAACAGAAGGGAAGGTCTGGAGAGAAGAGAGCATAAATCAGTGTGGCTTTAATGGACAGGGATGTTGTCTGGAAGGGTGGTGGTCAGTATTGTGTGGTCAGGACAGGAGATTTGAGCCCATTTTCACTCATCATGTGATGTTGAGACTTGAGTCAAGTAATCTGCCATAAATCAATGTGGCATTATGGTGCTGTATATATTTGTTTGTTGTACCTTTACTTCTATATCGCTTTTTACAATATAGATTGTTTCAAAGCAGCTTTACAGCGATAACAGCTTAAGTAAGTTCAGCGATGGTTAATTTTTGTTGTAAAAAGTTATTAATTTAGTTCATTTATATATAAATAGCCATGACAAAACCATGATGTCATCATCCAGCTCAGTTCAGTTGTCATATAATAGTGTCAATGCAGGCAGATCAACACTATTGTTGAATGTTAAATGTTGAATGTTAAATCTCCCCAACTAAGCAAGCCAAAAGCCAAAGGCAACAGTGGCAAGGAACCAAAACATGCTATTACTGTAACTAACTATTAACCGCTATTTTTGCCTCAATAAACTCCTAATTACTGCTTACTAATAGTTGGTTTAGGTGTTGGGAAGGATTAAGGGGTGTAGAATATAGTCATGCAGAACAAGGCATTAATATGTGCTTTAAAGCTCTAATAAACAGCTATCCTTGTAATATGCTCGATAATAAGCAACTAAAGTGTTATTTTTATTAAATCTATTTATTTTTTTATTTTTTTATTACTTAAATGCTTTACTTTTTACCTTTATTTATTTATATTTTGTGAAATAAATTCTTGTTAAAACACTGGGCAGCTTTTCTGAGCCAGAACTTCACTGAGAAGTTTAGTAACCTCCAAACTATTTTCTTTAACACAACTGTACACCAACTGGATTCACCCTGACATAACTTATACACTATGATTCATGACTTCTTCTATGGACAAAAAAAAAAATGGTTAACACTTTATTTTTATAGTCACTTTAGACGATCAACTAATTATAAGTAACTTTTCAACTACATGTCAACTAACTCTCATTAGAGTATTAGTATATTATAGTAGACTGTTAGGTTATGGTTAGGTGTTAGGGTTCAGGTTAGGAGAATACGTTTACTTGTAGTCGCCAAGTTACTTACAGTCAGTTAAATGTCTGTTGGGGGACAAACAAAATAAAGTGTTAGCAGATATTAAGCAGACAGTCTACTGATACTCTAATGACAGTTAGTTGACATATAGTTGAAAAGTTACTTCTAGTTAGTAGAATGTCTAAAGTGGACTATCGAAATATAAAGGCTGTCAGAGAACAGTCTGACAAAGCTGTTCACTCTTTTGAATGTGATTAAAATGAATGGAAGTTTTAAAAAGCACAACAGCAGAATTAAGAATCATAAAACAGTTATGCACTATATTTGAGGTCTTTGTGTGAAATGATAGCTTTCAGAGTTTGTGTTAAATAAAGTCATTGAAACAACATGAAGGTGAGTAAATTAAGTTAAAATATTTGAACTATCCCTTTAAGGTGTCCTTCTGTGTGTGAATCTTGTTTGCTTCTCTCAGAGTGTTACTAAATGTATGCTTTGTTTAAGGGCTGTGACGGGGGTGGATGTGGATCCTGATTTGGTTCATATGGAGATTCAAGACATCGGCGGTGGTAAGGGAGGGCATGTGTTTAAAGAACAGTGCATTTTCATTCAATTCTACATAGCGTAACAAGCAACTACGAAAGAGGGCAGATGGGATGTTTTGAGGCTTTATTTTTGCCTCATTCACACAAACCTCTTTCAGTAAATTCCTCCTAGCTGAGCTGTTTTGTGATGATTGTGTGCTTGTGTGTGTGAAAGAGACCAGCCATGCAGATGCAAACTTTTGCACAGAGCTCCAACACACACAGTAACATTCAGTGCAACCAACAAACACGTGCATTCAAACCCTAAGGGAGGTGAAAGTTGAGTCTAACCAGTATAAAAGATCACACTGGACACATACATTCGGCCCTTCTATGGATAAATGAACTTTCATTACTCTGTATTGGTTGGGTTTGTGTCATACAAACAGATGCAGACCTCAAGTGTTGTTGCTTCAGCTCAGTGGCTCCCTCAACCTCTCCTAAGATGCTCTCTCTCTGTGCGTGTGTGTGTGTGTGTGTACACGTCTGACCTTGTATGTCAGAAGACAGAAGCAAAGCACTCAGCCATTCTAATTGCTTTTTAATGAATTTCTCTGCTGTACTGCTTTGATTAACCATTCGTCCTCTTCACTGAAGTAGTCTACTCAATTGTTTGCCTAAAATTATACAAAAGAAAAACAAAACAAAGAGAATGAGAGGAAACAACACTATAAGAACAGCAATTAAGTTCCAGACTTTGACCTTTGACCTTTATTAACCTTTGACTATGATTTTTGGAGCATGCATTCTCCTATCATTTTTTCATTATTTTCCAATTGTTTGTCATTTTTTTTGCATCTTCAGAGAATTGATAAATGTGTGTGTGTGTGTGTGTGTGTACATGTACATGTTTTTCTATCCCAGTGGGGAATTCAACCTGAATGCACATAGACTCATGGGGACTTGTGTCACCGTGGGGGCCTAAATTGACTTCCCAATGAGGAAACAAGCTTATAAATCATTCAGAATGTGTGTGTTTTTTATGTAAAAATGCAAAAAGTTGTATGTGATGGGAAGGTTTAGGGGTAGGGTTATAAGGGGATAGAATATACAGTTTGTACAGTATAAAAAAAAAACTAAAAAAAAACATTACGTCCATGGAGAGTCCCCACAAAGATAGTGGACCAGACGTGTATGTGTGTGTGTTTTTGTAGAGGTTGCTGATCCAGCTATTGTGTGAGATTCTAAACAGAAAGGCCACGTCAACAGGGCACCTCGGCACTGTTTTCCCATAATTAATTTTCTGCCATTTTGGAGCAAAGCAGTGTGTCCTGTGAGGATCAGCTTCAGCTAATTTTGTTAAAAGCTCACTTTTTTTGCAGATATCTTTTGCTCCATTCACCTCTGAAATGAGATCCAAACACTCACTTACAAAAGCCATATGATTAGACATAGAAATAAAAGTTCCTACAAATTTCTTCTAACCCTTTTTGTGTCTGTGTTTCCCCCACCAGGATACCTTTATGTGACGTGTCTCATCCAAAACTGCTCTGATAAAATGGTGACAGCACAGTTCTTGGGGAAGATTGATCACACTTCCCTCTCAGTGCAAGATGAATACATATTTGTTAAGGTAAAATGTCATTAATGTGTTAATGATGGTGTGTAATATTATTACATTATAGAATATCTGTTTTATTTGGTAATATATTTCACAATTTAATTTAGTTCTGTTATGTAAAGCTGAATTGTCAGCGTCATTAATCCAGTCTTCAGAAATCATTCTAATATGCTGATTTGTTACTCAAGTATAGCATTTCTTATTATCAGTGTTGCTAAATATCTTTGTTTTTTTTTTCTGGATTCTTTGATAAATAGAAAATTCAAAGGAAATGAATCCATTTATTTAGCAACTAATATAAAAAATTATTTTACTGTCGCTTTTGACACATTGAATGTGTCCTTTTGCATTGAACATTGAATGCTGAAGAATATACACTATACACAAACGTAAGGGATAATATACTTTTAGCCAGGCAACATCATATTATATTATATTACCCTAAAAGGATTTATATTGTGAAAATGACCTTCTGAATGCACATTATGCCACTTATTACACAACCGCTTGCCAGATAAACAAATGGACATTGAGTTATTAATGAGCACAGCCAGGAAATCTTTTGCCAGGGACAATAGTTAGTTATATTTTCTGATTGTAATTCAAAAATAACTGCCTGCTGTATTGACCGATCATCAGAATAAAAATTCCAGGCAGCCATACGGTTTTTACCAGATGAAGAAGATGAAGATAAAAGGGAGTTAAAAAAAATGACAAATATAATGTTGCAGCATGTCTACACACACACAAACAACAACCGACAAACACAGAATGAAGGTAAGGAACTGGGGGCTTTCATCCTGGCAGTTTAGTTCGGAACGAGGCATGGTTCGCATGAAAAATCACCAATGTGAACACAGTCATGGGACCCGGGTGCGCACTGTTGTACCGAACCCGTGACTAACTAAAAAAGGTAGTCTGAGTTCAGTTGCTCCCGAACCGTGCCGCGGTTCGTGTGAATGTGAAAGCAGCACAGACTCGGGTACACACTTGTTCAGGAAGTAAGTGACCATGCACATGCGTTTTAGCTTATTGTGATGTATTCAGTTAAATAAAACACTTGTAAGGGATGATAGTGTTGATGATTTACCTTGGATACAAGCAATAGTGAGCCTGCAGTGTATTTGTGCATTTCCCGTGGAATCAGGGCAACAAATTTGGAAATCCATTGTCTCCTCGGGGTAAAATCTTTGCGTGGCTGGGGGAGCTGCCACTCGACATGTCACTCGACCAGTCACCGTTATTATATGCGCCTGTCACTCGACCCATCATGGATCTTGCCTCTCGACCTTACACAATATGTAAGATGTTTTTTAAACCAAATGCTGCGCGTATCCCCTTTAGCCAGCGGGAGCCAGAACGGTACGCACTGTTGGTCAATATTCACCATTAACCCTTACAGCTACTAGCAGACACTGCTGATGCATGTGATCAAATAGACAGTTCTGGCACGCCACGCTTCGCTTTATTCCTATGGGTGAGGTCACGTGACTTTAAGGCGTCTGCTAAGCATCACAGGATGGCGGCGCTTCATTTGGAAAAATGCTGTGCGTCAAAAAGCTGGCCGATGCCTATCTTTATGCAAATTAATTATGTTGAACGCGACTATAGAAGTAGAGCTTATGGAGATGGGGGGAAGTCTCTCGAGGGTCCCCTGTTCTAGACTGGCCGCTGGCTCGAAACCACACTCATAGCGGTAAACTAAGGTACACCCATCAACATACAAATGTAGGGAAGCGTCGCGACCCCATGCGACAGTCGTGTCGCAAAAGTGGATCCATAGCGACACTGTTTTCATCTACCAGACACTCCGATTGATGCACATGTGCAAACAGACAATCCTGCACTTATCTATCTATTTGTCATCTTATCTTATATTTTATTCACTCTTTTTGTCCATATGGAGTGCGTGTCACGTCACCTATTAGCGTCGTGCCAGCCACAACCTAGCGTCCCGCCTGCCATAAGATCTCTCACTGTTTACATGAACCAGACACTCCGATGAGAGCATGAGTGCAATTCATCTCTTATTACCATTTTGTCATCTTATCTTATATTTTATTCGCTCTTTTTTGCCCGCATTGGAACGCGTCTGGTGGCTCTTACTAAGCATCACGCCAGCCAAAAGATATCAGACATCTACCAGACACTTTCGTTTGATACACGAAAACACAGACAGTGCAATCCTTCTCTTTTTTACCCTTTTGTCATCTTATCTTATATTTTATTAGCTTTATAAAGTATCTTATACTTTATTAGCATTTATTATATAATTTATAAATGCATGTATAATTTATTTTACACTGCGAGGACAATCAATGCACCTGAAGGACTCTTAAAAAGGAACAATAAATGCATGACCATCAGTTAGCCTTGTCCCTTGTCCCACTGATATTGATAGAACTGTTAAGTAGACCTCATGGGCAAATCACAGCTCAGTAAATGTTTTCAGAAGTGCAGAGCTGGGCTTTTTTTTCTCAAGAGCATGGCCATCTATTTGCACACGTATAGACTGATGACACTTCTAATTTCTAAATCAAAAGGAGCCTCAACTATGGCATTTCAAAATGCTGGGTGATTTTCAGGCTTTCATTTTGCTTTGGATGTATTTTTTTTTTATCACCCCCTGTCCCGATATTTTATTCCATTTTCTGATCTTTAATAATTAGACAATGACTCAAGGGCATTTGCTCTTGTTCTGTATTCATTTCTCTCCCCCACCCCCTTTTCACCTGTTAAGTTGTTGTTTCTTTGAAGGGATTGCATCTGTTAAAAAGAAATTCAGATATGCCCTTGAGAAACAGGACTACAGTGTCTGAAATGTTTGTGTCTGGTTAGAGGCACGCTGATGCAGACTGGGCACAATTCATGAGAACTATAGTGAGTTTGTACAAGAAACCAACAGACTAGTGCAGAGACTGAATCTATTGGGATAATACCAGCCAGGTAAAATCAACAGTGTGAATTAGCAAAAAGAACGAGTGGTTTGTCTCAACGGTCTCAATTGCTGACGGCGAAGACATGATTCCACCATTGGGATATGAAAACTGCACTCGTAAACCAAATAAACACACTGTCTTTCTTTTCTTTTTTTAGGTAACTACAGGAAATCGCACCAAGTATTATGTCTCATACCGGAGGAATGAATTTGTTCAAATGAGATTCCCTAAATACTCTCTTCCAAAGGTACAGTCCTCAAAGATGTGGCTGTTAAATGGCCAATATTTACTCTCAAATGCTTTGTGCAGTTTTTAGTTGTATTCTTTACAAAAATATTTGTTGTACGTTTAAGACAAGAGGAAACTTTTGACCTCAGAATTATGGTGTATACAACACTTTTTGTGCTGATTATACATGATTGCATGATTGCAATTGTGAAATTGCTTTTAAACTACAGTTCAATAAACCAGAAGTTAATTTTGAGTGCCTTTTGAGTAATATTTTAGAATAGCTGAATCTCCATGTAACACACAGCAGTCGTGTTTCATTACTGATTGAGTAAGTGTTTTTGAATTAATTGGTTAAGTAAATGATTCAATGACTCTCATAGAAACAGTCAATTGATTAATTGCTTAATGAATCAGAGAGTTTAAATAATTAAGTTGAATGAATCTCAACTACTAAATGCACCGACTGACAGCATGCGCATAAATAAAAGGAGTGAAACAAACAATGAAACAGTTTTATAAATGTTATAAAGATTTATTTAAGTGCTTTCTTGAAATACACTTACTAACATTTTAGTAACATTTAATGTAGCAGTATCACGTGCGTTTATAGTTATGTGCTTGAAGTGACTGATTTTTCATCTATTTATGAACTAGGTACTAAATGTGAATTACTATTTGAAGGTGGTTATTGTTCTTTTATCAACTGCAGATGTTGGGGTTTTCACTTTAAAGCCAGAGACTGACTATGACGTATTGCGGCAATATGTATGAACTGAAGAGCACAGTTGCTGTCTAGCAATGAAACACTACACCATTACAACACAGATGTGGGTTTAACCTACTGAGGAGCCGTGATGTATGGCAGTAATATGCTGGCAAAAGAAGACAGCTGGCTAAGGGTTACAGCTGATGACTGACCAGACTGTCTGTGTCTCTAACCCAAGGGAGTGCTTCAGTAAAATGCTAGCTGACTGTAATTGAATAACATTGATTAGAGTGGAGGCCAGGGGGGTCTGCTTCATGTATATTTCACCTCAGAGAGAGAAAGGCAGGGAAAGGAGAGAGGCAGTAGGGCAGCTGCTGTCAATGGCATTTGTAACTATGCCAACCACTGATTCACTGTGACAGAGTGAAAGAGAGCGAGAGAAAGAAAAGTGTAAGAGAAAGAGTATAACTAAGAAATATGCTCCAGATTAGCAGACATTCGCCTTAATGGCAAAGGATAAGAGCTTTGATTTAATTGCTGTAGATGTTGAACACGCTATAGATTTATTCGTTCAGTGCCTTCAAGCGCATATGCGAGGGCTTTTGAGAAAATTTTTAACAGATATATTTATCATTTCCCTCACGTGGTGTCATTTTTTTCAAGGTTAAAGCAATATTGATGTTTTTCCCATCTCTAGTCCCTCTTTTCTCTGCTCTTTAAGCCGTGTTTCACTTGACTGAGCAGATGGGTCAAATTTTAGACACCTAGTTCAAGAACCCAGAGGAGAGCTAGAGTGTGTGAGAGGGAAATGGGGTTGGCTGATGTTGTGCCCATATTTTCCACAGTGAATAATTGAAAACCTTTTAAAAAATGCAAAACCCAATTCCAGTATGCAGTCTCAGATCTCTTCTTTCTTTACGTTATGGATTAATGATGGTCCTTGTCTCCAGTGGGATGATTCGTTTGTTGTAACACACCTAGGACACTGAATGGTTAAGCAGCACTAAACTTTCGGCATCTTCCTCTCTTTTCCTTCTCTCATCCTTTGTCTTATGTCTTTTAAAGGTCATCTCAATGATTTATTTTTTATTTTATTTTTATGAACTTTGTGGAAAAGTAAAGCTTGCTATATCTGAAGATTCAAATCTGAAGATTAAGGGAATGGATAGCCAAGAATTTGTTTTCAAAGAGTTCCCAGATAAATAAACATTTTCAAGAATGTTGGGGACCTGTTTTGGGTACCATTGATTTCTTAAAAAAAAGAGAAAAAAAATCAAATCCACAGAATAAAGAAAATCTTTGGCAAGGTTTGGAGCAAAATAAATGAGGATTAGTAAATGATGACAGAAATTTTATTTTTTTGATAAACTATCCCTGGATGAAAGCATTTAGCATTCTATGTTTTAGATGACTTTTATTTTAATCTCAAATGAAATCTGAGATGATAGTCTAAAATTAAAAAAATTCCAGAAGGCTCATTTAAATCTTTCTTATCCCCAATCATTAATTGAACTTAAAAAACGACTCTAACTTTATGGCGCTTCTATAATGTTGTAGGCCTGCTTTAAATGTTTTAGCCTAGGTAAATATTGGTATTGCAGTCAAATTGCAATCCCTTCAACCACACAAAATCAGTTAAAAGGGCCCAATGTTCTTTTACTTGAAACAGACTGTGAATAGAAACAATACTATTGATTTTGGCCAATTAAGAGCTGTTTCTCCACTTCAGGAATGTGGCAGCATGACCAGAATTCAAATGCACCACTATTGGAGCACAATGAATCCAACGGACAGAGAAAAGCAAATATTCTGCTGTGTTGATATGCCATTTCTTTTTTCTTTTTTTATACAAATAGACCTTTAAGGATAGCATGTCTTTCCATCCATCATTGTACAGTAACCCATACCATCCTTTTTCTTATACATACACTCAGCCAGTCTGCCAATAATACACTCAGGGATCATGGCTGTAGGCAAAGACACAAATGTCCTGCCGCTGTGTCATGGCTGATAGGGGTCCTGTGCCTGCTGTCGGAGACAGATGGATAGTGCTGTCTTAAGTTCTGATAGCGCTGTTATCAGTACTGTGTCCTGTCACACAGCATGAACAATCCATCCATTCAGTGTTTTAAAATATAAGATCTAAAACTAAAAGGGCTTTACAGCGTTTTCTGTTTTAATCCTATTACTCTGTTGTTCTTGTTGCTGTTTGTGTGATGACTTAGATGATCTAATACTGTAATTCACATTTGATCCAACTTCCACTTGGGAAACTTTCAGCAGCTGTGTTTCACAGCGATGACTTCACTGTCTTGCGTAAGCCTTGGTTGAAAGATGACCTCATCGTTAAAATTTTAATTCACAACTAACTAAAAGATGTTGAGCTGTTCATATTTGACCTAAAAACAAACAGACAGGAATTACATTGCCATTCTAGACTAGAGGCGTGTTCAGTACCATCTCCAAACCTGGAGCTTGTTTCCAGATGTGATCATGAACTTTATGACAAATAGGATCAGTAAAAATAATGTCTCTATTCAGATTTACAGTCCCCTCTAAGTGTAGCATAACTGCTCCAAGAATTGAGGGTTGAGGATCCAAACGCAGTTTAATGGGTTAATCCACATACATATACACAAAGGCCAGGCAAAGGTCGGAACACAGATAAAAACAGTCAAAACAAAGACAATGTCCAGGGCTAAGGCAAAACCAATGATATCCAGGGAACAGAAATAACAAAGGTCCGGGGAACAAGGCTCAGAAATGCAGTAATTGCAGATATAACAAGACCTACTGAAGAGGGAATTAACCAGGTTTATATAGGCAGATCATTTCCTCTAGTTCATCTGTTTGTTTGAGTTCACTGAGCAGCTCGGGTAAGCTATTCAGATCAGAGAATACTGTATTGTCCAGCTAAAGTTAGTATTGACTGATTCACTTCCATTGCGAAGATCATTCGTTATTAACTAGGGGCCGCTAATACGACACCGTTCTAACAGAAAAACTCAACACGCTCCGGCCACACATCCGCACAAAACAGTGCCTGGTGTCTTGAGAACGCACTCACAGAAATAGGTTCTAAGGTGCAAACAATTATCCATTATCTCTGCACAAACCTCAAAAACGCAAACTCGCGAAAACGTTGCCGTGTAAACCGCGGTAAACCTCGGGATAAACTGAGAGACTAGAGTAGACGCCATCCTTCTTATGATGTACCAAGTTCATCAGGATTTATGAATATTAAGTATTCCTGGTTCTGGCTGATCTAAACTATGCAGCCTAACATTGAATTATAGAAGCCTATAATGTGTTATGTGTATGCTAGGCCAAATAGATGTGTTTTTAGTCTAGATTTGAACTGACATTTGATAGTCTGGGCAGTGGGTTATGGGTTTCAGCCTTTGTTGGGAAGTGAATACGTAATTTTTATGATTTCCAAATTTCCAAAGGTGAAATTTTCAGAATTTCAGATATAAGACGTGCACTTCTTCTTACTGTGTAGAGTGGACTTATTACTCATAAAGCCTCTGTTGCAGTTTTTTTGGTCCAAATGGGCATGCGCACACATATACCGTTGCTCTTCAAGTGCGTTACTTTATCCTTAGCTTTCTTATTCTTATTCCTATAATTCTCCCAGCAAACAAGTGTTGTGTAACTGACCTCTCACAGAGGGGGCTCAGTGCCTCTAAACTGCTGTTAGTGGGACATACGTGAGAAATAGATTTAGAGTTTGGTCTCTGAAGCACATTAAAGCTGCTCAATGCTTCAGGGACTTTTACTAGCTCTTCACTTAAGTTCTTATGAATGAATTCAGCTTTGGGCATGAGCTTGTACCCTTCATCTTTGTGCCTAAATTAATGCGACCCACTTTCACTTTATCGGCAAGAACAACATGGTTGCAAACTCCCCCGTCCTGACCCAGTCTTTGCCACAGCACCCGGATGTAATGCTGCTAAGCTACCAAAACTCAGGAGCTTAGTGTTGATTCCCTATTTTAAAGCAAACCACAGGGTCTAATTATAGGACGGATTTATTAATTGTTCATGCTTTCATTTCATCTAAATCTGTCTCTGCACAGTTTATGTTCCAACTCAGTTCTTCACAGCTGCTCAAAATAAACTTTTCAATTCAAAGCAACTAAGTATAATCACCATGGAATGATATGCAGCACTGTGTTTGTTGTGGTTTTATGTAAGCTCCAGTGAAAGCATCACACTTTTCTGTCTCTATTCACACAAAGACACGCACTCAAAAGAATCCCTGCGTTAATTATTTGCACCTGCTGAGAAAACTGAAACTGCAATTTGCATTACATTTATTTCATTTTTACCTTTACATGTTCTAATTTCCTTTTTCTGCTTTTCTCTCCTTTTCTGCAGGATGTGCAAATCGTGAGTACAGATGAGAATCAGGTATTCCTGGCTCTTCAGGAGTGGTATCAGACAGACACGTACAACCTCTACCAGTCAGATCATCAGGGTGTCTATTACTCCATCGTGTTGGAGAACGTCCGCAGCACTAAGCAGCCTGAAGAGAATGTCCTCATCGACATCCTGGAGGTCAACATTTCACCCCACACTGTACCCGTGTAATACAAGGCAGTGTGGGTTTTACATCCCACTTAATCCTCAATGAACTGAAAATAGCTCAGCTGTAGTAAAGTTCACATGACTGTATGCATTCACATTGACAGATAGCACTCTAAAAACACACACTTAAAAGCGGAGGTGTTACACACATAAAAGTGCTTGTGATGTCTAGTAAGTCTTCAGGCATATTCACTCATTATTCATAGCCAGTAGCGTGCTTTAATAAATAAGTGATTCTAGGAAGCTGATGTCCATGTGCTACTAAAACAAGCTCGATCTAACACATATTACAGTTTCTTAGACAGTTGTGACTTGGCCAGGATTTGACTTAATACTAACATTTTACAGCTTCTTTACAGGATCTTAGTGATACTGAGTAGTACCAAAATATCTTTCGGGTATGTTTGTGTATTTTTCAGGTTCGTGGCATCAAGGGTGTATTCTTAGCCAATCAAAAAGTAGATGGAAAAGTGACAACTCTTATCACCTACAACAAAGGCAGAGACTGGGAACCACTGGCTCCTCCTACAACTGATATGAACGGCAAACCTGTCAGTTGCAAGCAGGTAAATATATTGGCTCACATTTCCAATTGCTTTTTGCATGGCTGTTTATCTATCAGAGGTACATTAACTTTAATCAAATTAATTTTTTACACATGATCTTGTAAATACACTACAATTCAAATGTTTGGGGTCAGCAGTCTTTGGAAATGCATTTTTCCAAACACATACATCACATTGAAATTTATTACATCGCATTGAACACATTTATTATTTTATTCAACAAGGATGCATTAAATGTTCAAAAGTTACAGTAAAGACTTTTACAGAAACTATTTATTCAAAATAAATACTATTCCTTTACATTTTTTTTTTCAAAGAATTCACGGTTTCCAATAAAAATATTAAGCATCACATCTGTTTTCAACATGACAAATAATAAGAAATGTTTCTTGATCAGATTTCTGAATGATCATGTGACACTAAAGATTGGAGTATGATGCTGAAAATTCAGCTTTGCATCACAGGAATAAATCACATTTTAAGATAGGCTATATTAAAATAGAAAACCGTTCTTATTGTGCTAGCATTTTAGCACTACCGGTTCCCTCGCTCTAAAGTCTATGGGATTTTTGAATGTGTTTTTGCAAAATCACCTGAAATAAGGTCTGTGGTGAACAAAGCCTCTAAATATTTTCACGTTTTGATCTATGACAATGAACACACAGTTATAACCTGCTTGTAGTTTTTTAAACTTTATTGTGTCTGCTTGTGTTTTTAAAAAACTTTATATAAGCTTCAAAATGTATAAATTTTGGATTAACTTGTAAAGATTATCTTGATAGAAAAAACCTGTAAGGGTCTCAACTCTTTGTTAAGCACAGATCTTATTTTTTGTGATTTTCCAAAAGTCTATGGGGAAAATGCATAACTTTTTGATCGAGGGAATCCATGCGCCGCTAGCTTCCGAGTTATGCTACAAAATGACGTCATCACTTCGCCACTCTAAGATACTATTTCACAGTATTAGTCTTTGATTAAATAAATGCAACCTTGGTGAGCAAACTTTTGGTAAGAACATTTTTTCAAAAACATTCAAAAATCTCACCTTTCCCAAACATAATAGCATGCCTACAAACTAAACACTAAAATAAAAACACCATATTTGATTTAAATATAGTTGTGCTGATGTAATTTTACCAACAATTCATTGCATATTCATACCAACAAAATCAAGACTTTATTTCAATATACAGCTACAGATTCCAGCCCACACTCTGCTTTTTTTCCTCTTCAAAATGATTGTACCACAACGGTCTCAGACACAGACGTGAAGTCATTGACCCCTCGATCTGACTCATCATCTCCCACTGTTTGCGGTTGTGTGTTGGTGGGCAGAGCAGGCACTAGTTCTGCTGCTTTCTCGTGAGACAAAAAAAAAAAAAAGATCTGAGTCATCAATCTACACACACACTAATCCACAGGGTTTACTCTTCACACACACACACATACAGAGCCAGAAATAATATGTAATTTATTATATTAAATGTCAATTTTAAACACCTGTAACTGGTAGCTGGCCATTAATTAAGACACATATATGGTTTCTGGCAAACATAAGACAAGACGAGATGAGATACAAATCAGAAGCTAGCAGAGCTCGGGGGACATATTGACTTCTCTCTCCTTTCCTGTCTGTCTAGCCACCCTTCTCACATCTGTCCTATCTCTCAGTCTTCCTTTTAACATGTCTTTTTCCTATCGGTCTCCTCTCTCCGATAGGAGACACATCTGTCCCCTCTCTCTACCTTCCTGTCTCATTTTTATCTCCCATTATTAGTCATTTCTTCATCTTTTTTAATGCCACCCCTTTTGGGGTTTTATGGCACCTTAAATATGCTTTATATTCATGCTCTGATTCATCTGTTATCCCGGACGTTATGTTGTATGAGTTGTGAAGGGGTTTTAAGTTATGTGCTCCTTACTGTAGAATTTAGACTGTTATTTCTTTGTTTAAGCAAGGTGGTTTTGTGTGTTTGTCAGTGAGTCCAGATTATCTACTATGTGCAGACATTATGTAAAAAAAAAAAGAAAAGTATGGTGGTGCATCTGTTTGGTAATCAAATTGGCGTGATTGCCAAAGTGTAAAAAAGTCGGAGTCTATACATACAGATAGATACCAAAAGAGAGTAATTTTTTTCTTTTTGTCTGCTCCTCTTCCTAGCCTGACTGTCATCTCCATCTCCACTTGCGCTGGGCTGACAACCCGTACGTATCTGGAACCGTCCACACTAAAGATTCTGCCCCAGGCCTCATAATGGGTGCAGGTCAGTCTCCATGACAACTATAACCCTTCAGTATTGTCACCATAGCAGTGAGGAGCCCAAAAACTCAAATCAAATGAAGCTCTGTAAACCTCAACTTTTCAATTACAAGAAATAATTATAGTCCAGATCCAAATCTGCACTGCAGCATGCTTTGGGAAATTATGAAAGAAGATTTCTTCACACAAAAAAGGAATGCTAAGAAGTGTTTTTAGGGGAAACATTTCAATGTGATGTACCATAAAAAAAAAAATAAAAAAATAGAAATCTTGGTTTTGAGCCGGTTTTCCCTATTTCTGAGTGTTGTGCAAAGCCGATGAGTCCACACTGAGGCAGGCACAGATATATGAAATATTTCATCTTTATTGCCACAGGGTTCATGGGGAATTGAAGAAGACAATACATTAATGTTCTTGATTCCAAAGTGTTGCCAGTTCACAAGGTCGAAAAGTCTGTCTGTTCCCCCAGGGTTACAGACATGCGCACACATACACACACACATAAACACACACACTGACAGTGTCACACTGACTTATTCACTCTTGACTTGTTTCACTAACTAACAAACATGAATAGTTAGAGTCTTTCAGCCTCTGGTTTTAAGAGTTATCAACACATTGCAGCTAGTTTTTACCATGTCAATGTATGTGTACCTATACTGCAGAGACTGAGCACTGAGTCTTCATCAAAATCCAGCTTTCTATTGCTATTATTGTGCACCCTCAGTAAAAATATTCAGCTCTAACTAGTTCTCAGCCTTTGATCCCCAATAGCCTCCAGTTTTCTCACAGTTTCACTCTTTTTATATGTAGCTCGCTCACGCTTACTCCTCCCTCTCTCTTAAAATCAAAGAAAGTGAGGAAATTGCTGCTTTGCCTCAAGTTAAAAAAAGAAGAAAATTATAGATTATCTCTGTATTCATGTGAGGATATTCATATTCTCTTCAGGTAACCTTGGGTCTCAACTAGTTGAATATAAAGAAGAGATGTATATCACCTCAGACTGTGGCAAGACCTGGAGACAGGTGAGAAAGAGACTAATGATCTGCAAAGCTGTTTTACAACGATTAATCAGTCTCATAAAAATGCTTCATCATAGTTTCTTCTGTGACTGTCACAAATCTTTAGATTTCCTCTTTGTGTTCAACACCTTCCTTTTCCAACTGACTCGGTTTGGTTTGCTTTTTGAATTTAGATCTCTGTTCCTCTTGTTCCCATCTCTGTCTTAATTAATCTCTGTCTTGACTCCCGTCTCTGTCTCTTAATGGCCTTTCAGTGATTTCCGGGATTGTTGCTGCCTCTCATTTGCTCAACTGGATTTTTCTCTAACGACATTGAATCTTGATTATGATATTTACTATGATGAATTAAAATGCCTTTAAGTGTTTTTTCATATATAATTATTTTATTTGCACACTCTAGGTTTTCGAAGAAGAGCATCACATTCTCTATCTGGATCATGGCGGTGTCATTGTGGCCATTAAGGACACTTCAATCCCTTTAAAAATACTCAAGTAAGATCATTAGTTTCTGTAATGTATTGTCTGCATAAATGATATTGCAATCATTGGTAAGCGTAAACTAAACACAAATGGACCCAGTTGCGGACCTGACAAAGACTGACAGAAGGACTTCTAAAAAGAGAAGAAGAAGAGTAGTAGTAAACACTGAGTCAGACTAGTATGAAAAACAAGAATTCAAGACTTTCCCTCCCTAGCTTTTGCTGACCTGATTGAGCTGGTAATCCTTTGAGTGAGTGCTTTAAGAAGCTTATTTGGCTTTGGAGGGCTCTTCAGACCACCCTGAGCTGCCTAAATCTTTTTCCTCTGCAAAGGGTTGGTAAAAGCCAACCCTTAACCCATATAAAATAAAGTGATTCACATGATTCACATGCTAGATATCCAGTTCACCTTACTTCACAAATGTATGTAAAAGGGAAACCTATGAAGATCAAAGTGAGAATCATTACCTTCTCTAACAAAAGCCTTGAAGCCTTTCATCGGTGTTGAGCCTTCTTGGCAGTACAAACAACCGCTTCTGTCAGGATAAGACTAAGAGCTTGTAGTGCTTATGCTGGCTTGTTGCCTACAAACTACCTTGTTCACATTGTGAGAATAAATGGCAACTGAATGATATTTTTCAACAAAAAAAAATTAAATGTGAAAACAAATCATTTTCATATTTGGTTAACAAATGTCTCACCTCAAAGCAGAGACTAGTCACATGATGTATGATATAATATACAACTTGATGCATACCGCTGATACATCATCACATCAAACATTTTTGTCTTAGATTCAGCATAGATGAGGGACAAACATGGAGCGTCCACAACTTCACCAGCACATCAGTGTTTGTGGATGGACTTTTGAGTGAACCTGGAGATGAGACACTGGTTATGACGTGAGTATGAGTTTGTCCTCTGAAAAGGGATAGTTCACCCAAAACTGAAGATTCTGTCATGTACTCACCCTCATGTTGTTTCAAACCTCTATGACTTCTGTGGAACATTAAAAAAAAAAGATATTTTGAGGAATGTTTTGGGTCCTATATTGTTTTGGACCCCATTGCTTTAATTGTATGGACAAAAAATAGCCATACAGTTTTGGAACAATATGAGAGTGAGTAAATCTTTTTTGGGTGAACTATCCATTTAGGACTGTGTTATTCTGTGTTGGTTGTATGATTGGCCCTTAGGACAAAATATAGATTTTTCAATCATTTTGTGCTGTTTGAGTATGATCCTGACTTGAAGGTCAGGCCTTTAGTCCATCAAAAGCTGAATATTTAATTTAACAGGCAGAAGTAGATTTATAAACTTGGACACAGACCATGCTTATGGTAAAACAAAATTGAGAATTTCTTCTTTCTCAGATATGAGTGCTGTAGATGATCAAAGCATTTTTACTTGTTCAAGACATTCGTGCACTGATTTCTCAAAAAACACAGATTCAGGGTTCCACCTTGTGGTGGTGAACAGTGCTTTATTTGAGATTAAGTGGAGAGCATCTTCCCATAGACGCCAAACAGCAGGTGGCCTCTGTATTATAAAGAGGCTGCGCTTTTGATAAAGGCTATGTGAGATTCAGTGGCCTCAATTAAAGAGGCCCCTGCTCATTAGTAACTTGCTGATGAGTGAATCCATGTGTCTGTCCACTCATTTGCTCCATTCCCAAGATGTGTAATTGGGTAGTGAATGTGTTTTGACTTGATTTCAAGGATACACTCTGATAGTCAAATTTTTTGAAAGGGATAAATGGCTTTTGTTTCAACATTTGCGGTTTGAAGGATAATAGGATTATTATAGATGGAGGGATGGATAAATGGACGGGCGAAGGATTATGTTTGTTTATGTTTACTGTTGTGGACAGGGTATTTGGCCACATAAGTTACCGTTCGGATTGGGAGCTGGTGAAGGTGGATTTCCGTCAATCGTTTCCCAGACAGTGCACAGAAGCTGATTATGACTGCTGGAAACTCACTGACCTACAGGTAACTTCAGGCTTTCTCTTGTTACGGCATGCTCAAAAACCCTAGAAGTTGAATCAGAGTGCTGTACAACTAATTTTAACTAATGAGAGGAAATAATAAGAAAAGACCATTAAAACAAAAGAAAATAAGGTTACACTTTATTTTGATAGTCACTTTAGACGTTCTACTAATTATAAGTAACTTTTCAACTACATGTCAACTAACTCTCATTAGAGTATTACTATATTATAGTAGACTTTCAGTAGACTGTTAGGTTATGGTTAGGTGTTAGGCTTTGGGTTAGGAGAATACGTTTACTTGTAGTCGCCAAGTTTACTTACAGTCAGTTGAATGTCTGTTAGGGGACAAACAAAATAAAGTGTTAGCTGATATTAAGCAGACAGTCCATTAATACTCTAATGACAGTTAGTTGACATGTAGTTGAAAAGTTACTTATGGTTAGTAGAATGTCTAAAGTGGACTATCGAAATAAAGTGTTACCGAAAATAATAATAATAAAAGTCATATCTACAGCAACAACAGCAAAGGAAATATGATTTATATTTTTGAATCAATTTACCACTTTGGTAACGCTGGTAACTTTGGTAATTTAATCTTTGTTAATGTTATTTAATCAAAATAAAACTTTTCATTGTTAGTTCATGTTAGCTCAGGTCCATTAAATAATATTAACAGATAAAAAATTACAAATAATAATGTTGAAACATTGACAAGATTAATTAATGTAATTAAAGTATTTTTCATTGTTAGTTCATGTTAATTAATGTAGTCAACTCATGTTAACCAATTCAAACTTTATTGTAAAGTGTTACCACTACCTTTCAAATGGAAATATATGACACGTCTTCTCCTACAGGGAGAGAAATGCATCATGGGCCAGGAACGATTGTACAGGAGGAGGAAAGAGACATCGTTCTGCATTAAAGGGAAGAGCTATACATCAGCTCTAACCGCTAACCCTTGCCAGTGCTCAGAGAAAGACTTTGCCTGGTACGAAACAAACAGATAACCTTTTGCACGTTTCTAGCCAATTGCAAATATACACATATGTCTTTGATGTAACAAGACACCCTTTACTTCACTTTCTAACCCCAGTGGAGTGAATTGTGAATTAGATCTGTGGCTAAAAATAGAGCTTTACGTGCCTCTGTGTGTTCTCAGCGACTACGGCTTTGAGCGAGCTCCCAGCCTCAGGTTAGAGGGGGATCGCTGCTATCCTGACTTTTGGCATGATCCTGACGCTCCACCTGAAAACTGCCATTTAGGACACAGCTATAAGTCCAGCACAGGGTAATACACACACACACACACACTGCAGAATGTTAGGGTAAAATTACCATGAACGTGTTATTTATGCTTTGTGAACACTAAGATTGACAGAGCAGAGGCAGTTTTATACTCTGTTTCCATACTGACAGAGTCTCTCAATTCTGACACTATTACTATAGCATCCAAAGCAGATATGCTGAATACAGTACTAACTAGATTGAATAAACAGATCAGATTTCATTGCTTGCAAAATGATTTGTTGAAGAGATTAGATTTGGAAACCAAATCAGATTTGTGTCCATCAAATCCATACTAAGCTATGTTAAGTAGAGCATGCCATTTCAGCAGAACCAAGACAGCTGAACCAATACATTTAACACATATGGATGTTTTAGCCACTTCTTAGTATGGTTATTCAGGAATGTAATGTGCCTTTTCCACAACTCTTCATTATAACTAAGAGTTTAAATCCAGGCAACAACACTACAGGGATTTTCCAGTTTAAGGCAAGTAAAAGCAAGTCAAGGCTAACATGTTTTGTGTTTTCTGTTGAAGTTACCGGAAGGTCATCGCTAATGTTTGTGAGGGTGGCTTGAATAAAGAACAGAGCGCAAAGCAGCATTCCTGCCCTCTGCTGCCCCCTAAAGGCCTGCAGCTGGGCATCAAAGGACAGATGTTGGCCGTGGCACCTGGTGATGACATCACCTTTATAGTGCATCAGGAACAGGTGAAGTGCATGGATTGTTTACACTACGTACAATTTCATAATTTGATTGCTAAAATATAAGACAACTTGAATGATATAAATATATTAGATTCCATGTGCTAAAGATTTACGGACAAAGAAAAACACTACTAATTTTAGGCATCTTTAACATTGATTTGTTTTATTGTATATGTCCCTTCTCAGGGTGACACCATCAGCACCAGATATCAGGTAGATTTAATGGATGGGGTCAGGGCTATATATGAAAACCTGACTGTCATCGACGAACCCATTCAGCACCGCTATGAGAAGCCAGGTGTTTACCGTGTGAATGTGAAGGCTGAAAACTCTGCTGGACACGACCAAGCCTCACTTTACATTCAGGTCACAGGTCAGTGAAATATTCAGATTTGAGTGAGAGTGAACTGGATTCAAAACCCATTGCATCAAACTGTGGAGCATAGTGGTTAGTATCTATAATAGTGTGAGATTGAAAGGGTTTTACTGAGTTATAAGACTCATAACCTATAATAAACTACAACAACAACAAAAAAACACATTCAAAATCTGTACAAAAAGAACTCCAAAGAATACTCATTTCAATATGGATGCTCATTATTTACAAAGTTGTACCCACACCTTACACCATATATAACATTTTCATATCTCAAGACCTGAAAAATAGTCTTTTTCTTTTTTATTGGAACGTTCAATTTATCTCTAATTTCTCTGTTTCGACCTCTCTTTTCTCTCCAGATCCTCTACAGGATGTCCATCTGCAGGTGGTCCCGATCGCTGGCAGAAATCAAGAAGTAAATCTCACAGCTATAGTGCAGCCCCCCGAGGCAAACCTTACCGTGTTTTACTGGTGGATTGGAGATAACCTTCAGGTACTCGGTGGTAGTTTATAACTATACACATATTACTATGTTTTTATGGCGCTGCTTTAAATACTTCCTATTACAAAGGCTCATTTTCTGACCCAATGCTCACATTTCAGTTTTGTTTTTTTTTGTTTTATTATAGCTATGTTTGTGTTTATTTTTTAAGTATTAAAGTCATTGTGCAGACTTTAAAAAAAAAAAACAATAAGAGCTGTTTACCCATGTATTTTATGAAGGAAATAAACCCTCATCATGACATGTAATGAGGGTATTATTTATTCATTGACACATTTATTGACACTGAAACTTTGCATTTAAAGGGGTCATATAATGGTACATGCATTTTTTCTAGTTGATTGTACTGAAATGTGTGTTGGCATTGCCTGTAGATAATGATAAAGCCATATAATGATAAAAAATCCATCAAGTTTTTGCTAAGAAGCTGCTCCTGAAAAAAAGAATCGGTACCAACTATTAAGGTTGGGTATCGAGAATCGAGTATCGATTGGAACCGGGACTAACTTTTAGTTTTTTCCGGAATCGTTCAAAAGTTAAAATTTCGATTCCTAGTTTCGATATTCACAGTCCGCCGACCGGAAGAAGAAACCGCTGAACAACACCAATGAAGAAGCGTCTACCGGAAGTGCTGGCATAACCGTGCGAGTCGAACATGAGTAGCTGACGTCAGCGGTCCAAAGTGTGGCTTCACTTTTCTAAAAATAACGAAATCTCGGCAAAATGCAAAATTTGTGACAAAAGGAGTATTTGTGACAGAAGGAGTATTTCCTTCAGAAAGGCCGTTGGTTAGCAAGGTTAGCTAAACTTTTTTGACCCTGCTTCTTAAAAGAATCGGAATCGAGAATCGTTAGGAACCGGAATCGAAACAAGGAATCGGAATCGGGATCAGAATCGTTCAAATTCAAACGATACCCAACCCTACCAACTATTCGTGTTCCTGCTGCACCTCCAGAAGAAGTGAGTGTAAAGTTTTATTAATCTTTATATTTATATCTTTGCAAATCACGAAAAAAATGTGTTTATGACCATTAACTGTAACAATCAATCTGTCAACAAACTAACGTATACATCAGTAAACACATAGCATTTGTATCTCAATTCTCTTCCCTGCCAGTACGTACAAAGATAGAGCAAAGTGACATTACGTTAAAGGTGCAGTGTGTATTTTTTGGTGACATCTAACGGTTCGGTTGCAATTTGCAAGTTGCACTAATGGCTCAGCCCACTGCTCACCCCTCCCTTTCGAAGAATCTACGGTGGCTAAAACGGGACAAACATATTGTCGAGACAGCAGAGAATAGCCAGAGTAAGCCAAGAGTGTGTATCATTGTCACTGTTTCTGTACCACAGTCCATTATAAACCACATCATGGATAAATTTTACAAAGCCATAGTCCAGCGAGGATCAAGGGTCTTAATGTATAATATAATATAATAATAGTAATCAATCAGCTGATCGTCTCACAAACGTAACCAGCACATTTCTCCCCACATAGCAAACCTATAATACAGCGAGGGAGAAGAACCACATGCAACTATGCAACTACATATTTTACACCACTGACAAAATGAATGTCATATTGCATTTCTGTTAATAGATCAGTGGTTCCCAAACTTTTTGAAAGCAGGGCACTCCTTTGTAGTTTTATTTTTTCCACAGCACCCCAACCCAATTAAACTAAACAAACATAGGCCTATGTACATAAATATACAATTGATGCCGGTAACGGATTCCTCTGAACACTTTTTTTCAGTAACAAGTAAATAGATACTCAAAGTTTTTACTCATTGCACCTTTAACCAAACCATTCAGAAACATCCTGTTCGAGCCTTAATTGACGAACCATCATCTTTTTCCGGGTGCGACTCTGGTTCAAATTGATAAGATTGCACAGATGTGTCCTCAGACTCCCGCTGCCATTTTTTCTCCAAAATATACCCTCAACTGTTGTCAAGGCAACACACCAGCAGAACAGAGGGACAGAGTGAGAAAAGCTCATTATCATTTAAACTAAGGCATATACACTGAAACGGCGTGCTGAAAACAGAGCTGTTTTTGACCAGGTAAAATTAGTGTTTACTAAGTAGTCTTTACAATACTAATGAGAATTGTTCATAAAAGATTATATGACCCCTTTAAGATTACATGCTTCCATCTGTGGGACTGTATTGAGAATGGTCGAGAATGTTTATGAGGCCTTGTGTAGTCTCACATATAAATGTTGAAGTAATTGACCTGGAATTTTTTTAGATGCTCATGCTTGAAGGTTCAGGTGTGGCTGTTGAAGTGTTGCCTTTATACAAAACGTGTCTTTCCCCTCGACAGCCAAAGCTGACCCTGGAGAACAGCCTGATTACAAGGTTCTCTGAGGAGGGAGAAGTTCCTGTGACAGTTCAGGCTTCTAATGGTCGCTCCATGGTGCAGGACAGCAAGACTGTCATTGTTTACGGTAAGATAAAACCTCCTGATGTTCAGCATCAGGGGATCAGGGGCGTACTGGTGGGTTGCTGGGCAATGTGGGCCACAACTGCTGCTATATATATATATATATATATATATATACATATACCTAATATATATATATATATTAAGAATTAATTATAGTTACGGGTCCTTCCCTTCCCTTCCCTAAACGGCCATATTTTTTAAATTTCAGTATCCCTCCAAATAATTTTATTCCATCCAATTCAATCATATCATGTTTAGGCCCAGTGCAATTGGTCTAACATTGTTTGTCAACATTTTTGAGCTGCCCAATCAAATCAAAGGAGGCAGAGTTGACTGTTCACAGTATTTTCAGTGCGATTAAAGAATGCAAGATTAGATGTATAAGCAGCCAAACATGATGAGGCACAATGCAGAATTACAGTATACAGACGGTAATAACCCAGATATCTTATGGATAGCGAATTTCACCAATTTGAATGTACACAA